ACAAATATCAGAAGTTGATCATTTGACCCCTATATTTTGCATAAGGACTAATAAAAAAATATAACTTTATTGTCACAATTTATAACTTTTTAACCTTGCCCCCTTGTGTTTAAATCTCCACCACAACCAATGTACTCTACGTCATCATCCCAGAATGCATTGCTCCAGTAAAATAATGGTGACATTCCCAGGTGAAAGTGTAATAAACATGTATACATTTTTAAGTAATTATGAGTTTTCACATGTCACAAACAACAACTTTTATTAGAACAGAGAAATATATTTAGTGCCAATCTAATTCTAATCTCTCTGTCAAACTAAAAACCATCGAATTATAACATGTTTAATTTCTAGAGTTCGTTTCATATGTGTATGTTTGAAACCCAGTTTCTCTTTCTCTGTGGTAAAGCAGAGGTTGGATAACAAACACCAGAGGATTCTGACTCTCACTTCCTGCCAGCCCACCTGAGTGGATTCCTATCCGTATCCTGACGGGCACCTCAGGCATGTGGCGCATGTGGAAAGATCCCACTGAGCTGAGGATGTTCAGTGACATGTTGGCGATCTCCGCTGCGTGTTTGTTGCCGTTCCGTTTAGGAAGGCCAGATGCCACCATGTAAGCATCACCAATGGTCTCCACCTGAAAGACGTCAACATATCTGTTCAGGTTTGAGCTGGCAAGTGGGTGTCTGAGCCCATTTGCACATGTCCTACAGAGATAAGCTTGAAAGACTTCCAAAATAATGTGTTTTTAAGTAACGTTTGTTTATTCCTAACCTTGTAGACGTCATGATTACTGAGCACGGCATCAAACAGCGTGTAGAGGTCATTGAGAAGGTCCACCACCTCGATGGGATCACTGAGCGAGGAGATGGTGGTGAACCCCACAATGTCACTGAAGTAGATCGTCACCTGATCAAAATACTCTGGTTCCACTGTGGCACCGGTCTTTAGGGCCTCAGCAACAGAACTGGACACAACATGAAGAAGAATTGAACAGAACTGTGCAGCTCCAGTGGATTTTTACGTGTTTTCCCTGCGTCGACTCACGGTGGAAGCATCTCAGAAAGCAGCTTTTCTGTTCTCTGTTTTTCCACCTCCAGCTCCTCGGTTCTCTCTCGAATCAGATCTTCCAGGTTTGAGCTGTACTGCTCCAGCATCCTGAGCATGGAGTCAATAATATTGGTCTTCTTACCCTTGTTGATTATCTTGAACTGTAGGAGGAATGATAGAATGCCTTCAATCAGACGTTCAGGAAGGTCGACGTGAGAAGACAGCAACCAAAGAGAGTCTTTGGTAATGTACCCGGTCAAAGATCTCCTCAAAGGCTGGTCTGCGATCAGGCAGCTCGCTCCAGCACTGCTTCATTAACTGGATACATTCAAGAGGAGCCTGATCAGGGGCCACTGTGGGACGGCACATGGGGGGAGGCTTTTTTACTTTACGGATGATTTCTGAAGACAGAATGGAGAAGAAAGGATTAAACCCACCTGTACTAATATCCTGTCAGAACATTATATAGAAGTTAAGATAATGTGCTAAATGGAAAAATCATCGGACAGGAATGTTTTCCCTAATGGGTACGGACGGACTCCAACTGGACTCAGTTCAGGACTACTGACATGGAAGAAGGTCAGAAAGATTAAAACTGTTATGTAAAGTTAGAGAGTTAGCTTTGCTTGGTTCTCATTCGTCACAAATTGTTTCAGATTTTTAGTCCACACTGACTGGATGACCCATGAATCAATGCATAAAGTCATGTTTACAAATCATCCATGACCTGAAAGTCATCACATTCAGCTCAGACCCTGTTTACATGAGAGTGTTTTTCATTGTTTATTGGGACGAATAAACAAAAAAAAGAGTTGTTTTACATGGAAACACTGTGGTTTCCATGGCAGGGTTGCCAGATAAGAAAGGATAAACTATTGTGCTGCTGAACTAAAGTTGTATTTTGACCCAAACTGTCACATAAGCTGAGTGAAGGTGTTGTGTTTAGTCAACGTGAACAGAAAAAAAGGGAGCAACAAAACATTTATGCTTATCTGGCAACCCTGATGCTGGGCTCAGCTGCATGAGGTGTCTGCACGATCACAGTTACATCCAAACAGGTGAAAATGGGAAAGTTTCATTAGGGCCTAGGATGTTGTTGGATTGCTGCCACATGCTGAAAAAGGGTGAGTAGCACAGAAAGACTCTGCTGTCTGACGTTTGTTGTAACTGTTGTTAGAACAGAAAAACCTGTAGTGTGCATGTTCAACTTTACACCTGTGGAGTATTTCACTCCTCTGCTCTGACCTCCAGGATTTAGAAACTTTTGGTTTCAGAGAGAATGATGAGTGAACATGAACAGCTAAACTGCAGCAGAAAATCTCTTGTTTCACTCATGTAAACAGGGCCTCAGACAGGTTAAAAAAAGAAACTGATGCAAACACTTCTGACATTTATTGAAGTCTTTACAAGAGTCGGCTTGTTGTTTCCTCTGAGGTGAAGACACACCTTCAGGAGGTAAATCCAGCATGCAGTATGGTGGTCCTCTCACCACCACCTCCTGCAGGATGATAGCAAAACTATAAACATCTCCCTTATATGTTCCTTTGTGGTGGTTTTGAAGGTCCCTCAGGAACTCTGGAGCTGTCCAGAAAAGATCTGAGGAGAAATGTAAAATATCTAATTACTTGAGTAGTCTCTTTAAGTTGTGATCTATCAGAATGAGCAGAATTTTAATCCTGCTCTGGAATAATAATCAGGAAGGACATCCACAAAGTGAAACACAAAAACTAGATATTTTCAAATAGAAAGGCACCTTCTGGTGGGGGTTCTTCAAAGGGAGCTTTCTGTGTCTCCAGCAGCTCATTGAAGCCATAGTCTGTAATCTTGAGGACGAATCGCCCGTCCACCACACAGTTTCTAGATTTAAGCCTGCCATGTGGGAACTCTCTGAGGTGGAGGTACTTCATGCCCTGAAACACACATTTAAAAGCTGTTTTCAGAATCAGAATCAGAATAAGTTTTATTATCATTGTACTGGGATACAGTGAGATTATGTTCGTACAGACGCCCGACAGATGGGCGTGCATGTTGCTTCTGATACAAAAACGCAGCCTCTTATTCTTTATCAGAATACTTTTTAGATAGAAAAAGGTAAAAGGCCATGAGGATGGATAGTGGTATTACAAAAAAGATCTCTTCACATTTTGTCCTATCAGGACACGATTTGAGACATCAAGAAAACTACCAGCCAGCACATTTATAAACACAATTACAAATGCATTTGATGTCAAGATGTCGAAATTTGTCCATGAAGCACTTTCAGATAGGCCATAGTCCTGAAGATGTTGTTCAGCCGGCAGTTCTGATAAGCCTGCGCAGAAGGTCTCGGGGGGGTGGGTGGTGGGGGGTGGCGGGTGGGGGGTGTTGGCTGATAGACAATGCTTTTTCCTTAGTTTATCAATTTCCCAGGAGAAATTTGATAGTCGGCCCACATCCGAGGCCAAACGGGGGAGTCAGATTTAGATAAGCCACAATTGTTGATTTTCATCAGGCAGACAGTTTTTTCTTGTCAGTCTTGAGTCCTGCTGGTACTTTCAACATCCAAAATGGCCAGATTTATGGACATTCCACTCCACTGATCGGTGCTACAAGGCTTTTTCAAGGTCAACTCTAACATGCTGGCAAGTCCCACAAGCCGCATCCATTTTATGGTTTATCTCATAAATCAGCTGATTTTGAGCACTCGTAGCACAAACCAAACCTTCACATGGACTTGGCAGTTTTATCAGTTTTGTCAAAAGTTGATAACATAGGGACCCGCCAATGCCAAAAAGCTGAAACCCTGCTATCATGAATCCAACTATATAAACGTCTTTGGCGTCCTCCTGAGAAAGAACAGAAAAACTCATCAACTGCCAAACTCCCCACGGATCCCTGATGTGTCCTGCAGCGTGTCTCAGCAGGACATGAGGGCTCTTCAGGACCCTGTCGTTTTATTGAAAAGATTTAGTCGATTGCGTTGAAAGTCCAGCTCACCAGATCCATAATAGTATTTTTTCGTTTGGAAAATGTGTACCAGGAGCTCCAAGACACACAGAGAGAGCAAAAAGAAGGAGGAAGAGGAGAACAGGAGAGGGAGAGGAGAAGGCGTCCGCCTTGAGCGAGAGCAAGAGTGGAGTGGAGATGATCAAAGATGCACATACAGGTCCTTCTCAAAAAATTTGCATATTGTGATAAAGGTCATTATTTTCCATAATGTAATGATAAAAAGAAAACTTTCATATATTTCAGATTCATTGCAAACCAACTGAAATATTTCAGGTCTTTAATTGTTTTAATACTGATGCTTATGGCAAACAGCTTACGAAAACCCAAAATGCCTGTCCCAAAAAATTAGCATATTTCATCCCACCAATGAAAGACAAGTGTTTTTAATACAAAAAAC